CTTCCATTAAAAGATAGATACTATGCACAATTTTTTTTTTCATAGTTCATTATAGGAAAATAATTTTTTTTTTTTTTTAATTAAAAATAAAAAAATAAAACCTACTTTATAAAAGCTTATACTTCAATTCATTATTATTGCAAGTCATTAGATATTCAAACATATTTATAAAATACTATCACAAACATACATATTTACTCCAATAATTACCTATATGATTAATTAGAAGTAAATAAAAGTACATTAATTTTATAATATCTTCTATAAAAGCTTCTTAAAAGCTTCATAGATATTGCTTTGAATTTACATGTATTTGTAGTTAATTAGTAGGTTAGAAACTTAGTTAATAAATTAGCCATGTATCACATGTATTAATAGCTTGTGGAACAAGGTGACTATATAGTCCACATATAAATAACTTACCTTGCAATTTAAGTCATGTATCTAAAAAAGTCAACATATGTTGGAGATCCTGTAAAATATCTCCTAGTTAGAGAGTATATATGGAGGTAAGAGTAAAGCCTTCTTTACTCTTCTCAACGTCTTTCTAGTCCATAGTCTTGTTTCAAGACTTTCTAATCTTCTTATTTTTGATAATAGTCATTCTAATTTAATATTATATCATCTTTGAGTGATCTTTTATTTCTTTTTAGTGATACAAGAATATATTGATGATTTCTTTTTTTAAGATTCATGTCTTTGATACATATTCAATGTACTTATATGATTTTATACTTTTTTTTTATTTAATGTATCTTTATTCTTCAACAAAAGCTTCAATAATTCAACATAAGTTTTTATTAAAGACAAGTATTCAAAAAATGTGAATAAATAAGTGAAATTTTTTTCAAAAAAAGATGATTATATATATATATATATATATATATATATATATATATATTGAAGAAGCAACTAAAATGACTATTGCCAAAAGACAAGGAAATTAGAGACATTAGAAACTAGATTAGAAGCAAGAAAAGAGTTAATAAGACTAAAGATGGCTTTACTCTTGCTTCAATATGTATTATTTAACTACAAGCTATAAAGCAATGTTCAATGGAACTTGTAATATGTGTCTAACTTATAGGACAAGCTTCTTATATGTATGCAATATGTCTAATTTGTACCACAAGTAGTTACCTTGTTAGCCAAGTTTTCAACCTATTAATCACATATAGATATGTATAAAGGCTATATCATATCTATAAAGCTACTAAAAAGCTTCTCCATAAGATATTATCAATTTTATTTACTTTTATCTATTTCGACATACTCATATAATTTAGATAATTTATTGAGATAAATATGTATATCCATGATATTACTTCTTTTTTTGGTTACAAGTTCTATAAAAAGTAGTGGTCACATGTTGATGAAGACTAAAATATAAAAATATTTATTTTCCACATAGTTTGAACTTAATTTTTTTTAAGATAGTTGATAGATTTTCTTAGCTATTGGCAATGTCTTATACCAAGGTAGGAAGTCAACATCAATATTTGATCATTGTTGAAGACTTGATAACTTTTATTAAACAAAATATTTAAAAAATTACTAAGATTGGTTCCTATTTATAATAATTTTATCAAATATCAAGAATCTCTTTTAAGATCGTAATATCATATGTATTGTATCTCACCATCTATTTAAAAAAAAAACATGTTATTTTTTAAGGTCTACATCTCTATTTTATTACCTTAAAGATTATAACAATTATAATATCTAGTTTCATAACTCAATATTTAATAGTTCTTGAGTTAAATTTATTTGTTGTTGATTCTATATTTTCATAATACCAAAAATACAAAAAAATTATAATCAAGGATGAAAAATTGAATATAAGTTTTACTAAACTTTATTTCTTTTATAATAAAAAATTGTTTGATTCTTCATTTTAATTTTTATAGATGTTAGTAATAAAAAGCTTCGACATTCTTTGTTGTATTTATAAGATTTTAGGATAGTTTTCATATACGTTCACTAATATCATATCTGTACTAATATACAAGATATTCTAACCTATTTTGCTATTATCTTGACTCTAAAATTTCTTCGACCTCAAACTCTAGATTATTATTCACTTCTATAGGAAGAAGTGGCATTTATCTTCTTTTTAGCATATCCACTCTCTTGTATGGCTCAAGGAGAGACACATAGAACATATGATGGATCTTCATAGACTCCAATAGATACAATTAATAAGCAATTTGATTGATCTGTTTACAAATAAAAAAATGGTCTAAATCTATGATAATCCAACTTGTCACAAAGGCAACTAATCTTGATATTACAATAAGTAACCATACTTTATTCAACATGGAATTGAAGATGAAGCACCTCTTGCATCTTGTTTTCCTGGCAAATTTTTTTGGAATCTCCTAACATCAATATTTGGTGAAGCTAAGATTGGGATTATTAGGAATCAACTCTCTACAGCCCATGCTCTAATTTCTGCCTTCATTGTGCACAAGGAACTCTCATCATTCCTCTTGAATGTAATTGTGATGACTTGGGTATTTATTGGAAAAGATTATGTTGAAAGGTCAACTTCTAATTATTGTAGGTATATGGAGGTGACAATGGCCTGGCTAAGTAGGCCAACTCCCATCTCATCAAATCGTAGCACGTCTTCAAAAGAGACAGTGTCCTCTCCCATAATGTCTTGGAACGTGATTCTACAGTTGGGCTGGTAGAGGAATGCTTTGGGCTATTGTGGACTTTTGTCTTAGCCACTTCTTAATCTCGATTTTGTGTGAGGCGACTGGGGAGTGTCCGACAGTGCCTACTTTGAGGTTTGAAGGAATGCATTCTGCTTGGGGGAAGACAAGTCAATGCCTTGTCCGAGTGGATGGAATCCTGGCGGGTATAAGTTGTCCGGATGCATCACTAATGCCCCAATACTTGAGCAGCACCGTTGTAGTCTCTTTTATGAGTTGGCTTGTCATAAGCCTGAAAGGGAAGAGCAAGGGATAGAGGAGAGAAGGGGGGAGGGGGTCGTAAAGTTTTGGGCCTACATGGATTTGGCTCACGGGATTCATTGTCCATGTCTATCTCTGGTCTTGCTATTGCTGACTTTGTAGGGGGAGCAGGGGAAGATTTCATTTCCCTAGGAATCTCTTGTTTGTAAAAGGGTCGTTTGGATTTGTTGTCCAACCTCTTGTCTTGTTGAAGGCATTGAGGGCGGGGGCCAGTTATGGTAAAAGTAGCGTTATACCTCAGCAAAGTCCTCCTCAGATGATACAAGCCTGACTCGGCTCCGATTGTTGTGCCCCTTGCGTGACTGATAGTTCCCCTAGTCAGATTGGCGGCCTTTGCTGTACTGTTTCCTCCCTCGGTGGTCCTGGCGAGAAGAATGGTGGTATCTTTGGTCTGAGTAAAGGGTGCGGAATGGTGGGTTGAGGGCCATTTGTGGAGATGATCGCTGATGCTGGCCGCCTAGCTGCATGTTTCGCTGGGGAGACGGTGATGGGGACTGAAGAAGAACCTCATGCGAGAAGGAGAGGGTTGTAAGGTGCTTCTTCAAAGCACACGCACACTAAAAAGTTGGGTGACATACGCTCAAGAAAGAATGACATCGAATTTGGTGCACGTCGTAATCAACAGGGATTTTTGCTTTGTCTCCGTTGAGTCTTTCGATCCGTATCCTGTTCACCCACTCCTTGTCTACGTCTAGGGCAATGCAAAATCTATGATGCTTTTGAAAATCTTTAGGAGATATCTCTGTGACAATTAGTTGATCTAATTGTTTAGCAATTCTAACTGATCTAAGCAAGTATTCAAGAGGAAGATTGCGCAATGTAATCCAAGTGGGTAAGAACACTCCAGAAGGTTTGTTGGGGTTGAAGGGTGGAACCCAATTCTGGTACATAGCTAGTCCTGGGGAGAATTTGTGCGGGTTGAGATCCAACGCTCGGTCTCTTGTTTCGATACTATCGCACCAGAGGTAGTAGAAGCCGCATCTAATCTTCTTGTGCTGCAGCTACAGCTGTCTCCCAAGATTGAATTCAAGTGAGTTGAAGAGGTCTTTGATCCAGGCCGCAAGAATTGGCTCAAAACGAGTCCTGACGCAAAGCTGATGATGAGTACATGCGCACTAAGGTGGTCAATGTCCTTGCGTAGAGTTACGGGGTCGAATGTGGACGCTGGAATAGAGTGTCTCTCCTGGATAAGGAGGCCCTCGTGGTTGCAATGTGTGCAGAGAGGAAGAGATTCTCCTGTCGTGACCAAGAATGGGTTGATTCGATTGAGCCTCACATTGAGGCCGTGGCAACTTTCGTGAAGGTTATGCCTCCGCTAGACGCCATTGGTGTTTGGCAACCACGCCTCGTTGCTGATGTACAGGTCTCCATAACGTCTGTTTGGTTGCAGGCCCATGTCGCCGCGCAGGGCATTACTGCACGAGAGCTTAGCCATTGTTAATCTAGGTTTAGGGTTTAGAGCCGAGGTACTACGAACAAGTGGATTCCTTCGATTTCAATTTCAAAGGATTCAAACACTCATGTATGGTGTCGCTACACGCGACAGCGCTCTACAAAACCCTAAGGGATGTGGCTGACCAAGCAAGTTTCGGCCGCGTCGGGGAGGAGAGAGCCTGATCACCCTTCCCTTGCAACTAACAGCCTTCTCCCTCTCACCAGGTTTTTCGGAGCTCAAAGCCGGACACTCATCAGCTTCTACCGAAGGGTCCAGATTTTGGAAGTTACAAACTGGACTACGAAACAAACTACCTAACCCAACATGTACAATACACAGAAGGCTAGAAAATCACAAATGAGAAGGATTACCCACTGAACACATTTTGTGTCAACCAACTCGAATTTAACCTGACCTTAACAGTCTTCAGCGTGTCATCGACTACAATGTATACTCCAATGAAAGATTACGATACTACTGCTTCAACACGAGACTGGGTAGCAGGATTACATCACAACACAAAGATTTGAATTATTCAAACCAAATAAAGCATAAAACCCATCATCAATTCATGACTCACCAAGATGTGGACCACAACTAACAAATCAATTTGTTATCTAATAGAACTTGCAACTTGACCCTCCCCTGCTTGAACTATCAGGGGCAACATCCTATAAGTTGAAAAGATGAATACTCAAGACCTGATTCTTCTATCTTCCCGGAAGCTCCACTGCAAGTCATACAGATTCAAAAGCTCTCGAGACACCCAAAAGAAGAGCTTTAAGACCTTCAACGAGAAAGGGATTAAAAATACCGCAAGCTATTACACACTCTCCACATTAACCAGACAAAATCTGATTAACCTGTTGAATACTCTACAAACTCAAACCCTCCACATGGTCAAGAAGATGGTCTACATATGACACAAGCTAGATCCTATTCACAGTTACCCCTAAAACTGAAACCTACAACTCTCGATCAAAAAGCCAGGACTTCTTTCAAGTCCACCAAGTATCTACACTCTCATCTCCTGCTAGGCCTGCAGGCAAACTGGGCAAACTAGTTATGGAGTACACACTTTCTGGTTTTGTTGTCAGAACAGGGCTCTGGGGTTGCAGTGCTGTACAGGGTAGCCCTAATGACACAGGCTCAAGAACCTCAGGAGCAGGAGATACTCCACAGCTGGTAAAAGAAGCTGAAATAACTCTACCTCCGTCATGTGAGTGTCTTCGAGCCGTTCCTGCATCTGCGGTGCTGTCTGCATACGCTTGCAATAAAGACGCTCTATGTTGAGTAGGAGCTGAATTCCCACTCCTTGGGCTGACCAGGATGGGGGTAGATGGAGCAAGAGTTCCAGCTTGGCCGGATACCGAAGGGCTGTCCTCACCAGCATCCTGCTACACACAACAGGAAATTAAAATTTTGAACTTCGACATGCACCGAGTCCAAGTACGCAACTAAAGTTGGGAGTCTATGAGATATCAAAGATGGCAAAGAGCCAAGAAAAATAATTTATCTGTTTAAAAACGATCAGCTCAGAGCAGCCAGGAATCATTGACAACATACCGAACAAGATTGAGGAACATCGCTTAGAATACTTATCAAATCCTCTGCCCCAGTGGACTTTCCTGTTATTCCACTCTTATCATAAATTGAAAAACATAGTTTCTGTTTAAAACCATCAAAAAGGAAAAAAATCTTCTCAGGCAAGGCATACAATAATTTTTTCCACCCTACATGATGTTATGCAAAGTACACGAAAGAGGGAATGATTCAACAAGTGAGATCGAAAGCACCATTTCTACTGAAATTACGTTGGTGTCATTACTTACATGCTCTTCAAAATCAGGGCTGGCCAGGTTAATGGATAAGTTGTGCATCAAAAGTAGAACCTGCACGGCATAACAATAAGGAAAAAGAAATACTGGTCAATTTGCATTGCACCTCGTCAACCCCTTCGTCAACCCCTTCGTCAACCCCTAACATTCTAACCAGTCACGTTCACGTAATTCTTTGGCCAGGATTACCGTCAATCAACATCAACTTCCTCTCCTTTCAGCGGTTAGAAGGAAAAAAAAAAAAAAAAAAAAAAAAAAAAAAAAAAGCCTAATCTTTATTGGAAACTAACCGTTTCACGATCAATAGCAGACATTTCCTTGAGCTTCCGAAGGTGACCAGAAACTCCTGGGTCAAACACACTGCCGATAAACTTGTAGACCTCTGCGAAATCAGGAGCAGCTGGAGAGGGAGGAGAGTGTGGTTAGTGCATGAGAAAAGTAGTGTTGCTACACACCAAGGATAGAGCCTAATGATCACCTAAAGAAAATCGGAAATAGCTTACCTCGTATACAAGACTCAGGTGCAACTTGACTTGCAGGGAGTACATGTTGTGGCCAACCCCCAGGAGAGCTTCCACTGATGCTGTTGCTGGGAACGCGGACTGCAGATAAATTCACGCCCTCACCTTCTGATTTAATGCCTACATAAGAAAAGAAAAAAATAGAGAAGAAAAGCTCTGTGTAAGATAAACTTAGTCCAATGCGTTAGCGTTGGACATGTTCTAGGTCAAAACCGAAGAATCATAAAACCAGAAGCAACTATCAAGACTACCACGAGCGTTGAAGGACACCAAAACATCATCGCCACTTATGGGTATTCAGCAATAGACGTTGTCGAAGCCAACTAGAACAGCATCTATTCCTCCCTTAAAAGAGAGAGAGAGGAGTAAATAAATAAGGCGAAGAAACACAAAAAGTTGATTACAGTCGTCCATCCCACGACTAGGTTAAGACTATACAGATATACTAGGTAGGTTCCTGATTCCAACAGTTCAGGATGTGTTAAATAATGTTATGCAGGACGAGATTCTTATATGAAACATCGTGGAGTCGATGCGGCATAGGAGGATCAAGGACTCACCAGGAGCATCATATGAAATACTCGGATTAGGAGACACCGAATGTTGAACCCAGGCCGATATAGACGGACTAGTCGAAGTCATTGGAGGCTTATGAGATCCTGTGCCATAACTAGACTCTGTCTGTACAGCCTGAGTTCTTAACCCATCCGAAACCTGCACTTGTGCTGGTACATCATGTACCGGCCAGGTGTGTATTTACGTCAGTCAAGAGGTCATAGATTCATAAGGAATCCATTAACTTAAAGTGTCACTAATATACTTGTCTGAGCCTGCTGAAAGTTTTGCTAATCTAACCACTATTGCACTAACCTGCTCGGAAATAAACACTTTATGTACGAGTTGACTAGCTAGTCCTTCATTACTTGTGCCGCCAAACCTTCAACACTATCAGATAATTTGATGAGTTCTAGATCGATACATATGAGTTATGTTTAAAAATAAGTTAATGCATGTTCGTCCACTGTGTAAAGTTACTTGACGGTCAGGACGAAAAAGTGATCCCTTAACTGACTTGACCAATGGAGAAGTTGCCAAGCTATCGTTGCGAAATATTCACTTGCCAAGGGCTTCCAATCGACTGTGGTTACGATCCACAGCTATTCATCTGTAAACCATAAAACTCACTCAAGTACGTTCAGTCAAAGGAATATATGTAAAGAACTGTACCAGTTTTTGGAGCCTTCTGTGGATAAGGTTGAACTGACTTGCGTTTAGGGCGTGGTGGAGGGACATGCTCTCCAGTTCCATTTTTTTGAACTTTTAAAAAATATTTTTGTGCATGACTTCGGATCTGCAAAGAATCAATTACATTTGCATGTTAAGTCCACGTATTTATATTTATGTGTACATACACAAGCCCATCAATGTAGAAACTGCATGGCTGCTGAAACTCTGTTGCGGCTAGGTTACAAGCCGATATGCAACGGATTGAAGTGCTGATATTTCCTAGCTGAAACAGCAATAAAACCAACGACACAGTACCTGTATGACTGTCTTAGAACCAACGAAAGCTTCAATCTTTTTCCAGTCGCGATCAAATCTGCAAAAGCAGATTGCTTGTCAATCTTGATCACACTGCATTTTAATCTTCCACGAAAGGCTGCCACTTAAGCATTCTAAAATCCAGTTTTCCTACTCCACAAAATAATATTGACTCACACAGATGTTTAAAACACTCCGCTCTCAGTCTCACACTAAATGATGAAACGCTTCAAATAATAACTGAACTTGTGTAGAGGGGAGTTCTGAAATAACTACAGAGTTTCTAGCGATAAGATGTGATTGAGTACTAATCGATCATACGAGCGCTTAGGTCAGGTTAAATATCTTTTGCAACTTACCTAGAGGCAAAACCATTACTAAATAGTAGGATGTGTACAATGGGACAGTACAATTAAAGGCCTTCTTACTGAAACAAAGTATGGCGCACAATTCATCCAGAAGACTGTAAAGTGAATGAAACAGAACAGATAGTCTCCGTTGCAATGTACAAAAGAAATTCGTTCAATCGATTAAACTGCGTTGTAAATTGTACGGCCCGTTCTTGTAATAACTAATACTAAAGTCTCTTGTCGGCTGATGGCCAAGGGCAGGATATGGTAACTAACACTACTCCAGATGAACACCATGACTAAACTGTCAAAGACCACTTTTAAGTAAATCACGTGGTTCCAACCGCGAAGCTACCGAGGGAAATCTAAGGTTCCCATGAGTTCAAAAATATAATTGACACACTTCAACTTCAAAGACGTAGTAGGTAAGAACTGAAGATAGTCACTGTTTGGCTAGTCCCAAAATACAAAACTTCATCAAATCATGAAGGGGAAGAAACACTCACAATTGTAGGGCCTCGAGAAACTTATCATGCTCCTGCTCAGTCCAGCTTTCTCTGGACTTAGTGATGGTGTAAGGTTTCCGAATTTTTTTTGAGCCTTCTTCTGATACAGGGATTGGAGGAATGCTAGATAATGTGGAGCCTGCTACCATAACACCTAGCATCTCCGAACTAGCGGCATTCATGTGCAGCTTGTTCAACGACCCTTTCTGTTCAACTCCACTGGAAAATTGTGGAACTGTAGATAAAAACTGTAAACCTGAGGATAATTCCTAAGCGCCAAATTCCTCAACTCCTCATCTATACCCGTAATCAAAACCAGCACTTGTTTCAAATAGCAAAATTTCCGGAAAATCTGAAGAAGATGGTTCCCTATACCAAATAATAGGACAATTTCCTGTACCACAATCATGCAAAAATTTAGCGTCCTTCTGCCTCAAATAAAAGACTGAAGATGTGTCGAGAAGGTCCCGACACAGGCAGGGCACTGTAACACGAGGTAATGCGCAGAACTTCCCAGAGAGAAAATGGCACTCTAGCCAATTGAACAGTGAGTCAATTTGTGCAGACCTAGTGGTTGGAAAAACAAAGAGTGGAACGCGCAGGCATGAAGGAAGCCAAACCCACAGAACGGAAATAACTCGTGCATACTCTACACAAAAACATAACACCTTTGACCGCAAGATTCCACAATACAATATTGTAACAAACTCAAACAAAAGCCACTTCCGCATTTCAACTATTGTTACATCTCAAAAGCCTGTCAAGTTACCCGCACATCACTGGTATCGGAAAAGAGGAAAGAGATCAAACAATAAACCAGACAGCAAGCGCACACGGAGAGTGGACGACGGAACGCACAGACCTCCGCGCATCTGTCGGGCAAACTTCCAAACACATACGCAACGAGCTTCAAAGCACAAAAAAATGCTCTAATGGGAGGGGAGAGAAAAAATAGCTCCGTAACCACCAGATTCAGCCACAATCCACACAAATGAAACCTAATCTCCAAACACTTTCCATAATCTAGCCACCAGAACAGCAAACACACCTAAACCAGACCTCAAACCAGCAGACAATCAAAATCCACCACCACTACAACTGCGAAATATTCACTAACACCGCTGTTCCTCCCTCAAAAGCCTCGTACACCACAGGCTAAGCACCCACGCCAATACTACCTCGAATTCCAGCAAAAAAAATCACGAGGCACTCTCAAGGTCAAGGCCACGCACCCTGCGCTTGCCAAACAGCACCAGAAAGAAGAAGAAAATGTTCACTCACAGGTGCTCCGTGCAGACGAACGAATCTGCCAGATCCGATGGAACCAGACGCGCGTCGAGACGGAAGGGTGGCAAGAGAGAGAGTCTTGACAGGGAAGAATCGGGCAGCCAGGGCGGCAAAGAGAATGGAAGAAGCGTCGTAGCAGAGGGTTCAGCACAGCACACCTCACGAGGTGGAGGAGGGTCAGCCATTGCTGCCCTTCGTCATAGCCAGGAGGGCTCCCTGACCCCTGGTCCCACACTCCCAGCCCAGCCTCCAACAACACCACGCACGCCGTTGACTATGTAATTCGTTTTAATTTTGACGTATAACTCCATTTTACCCCCACGGCTTGTTCTCCACACCTGTCAACATCATATCTTCGCTCCGAAAGCTCCTCTCATGTGAAGGCCCCCTTTCACACCGCAGTGACTTCATTCTCTTTTCACACTGCAGAACAGGAACTCATTGTGGGTCGTCCAATTTCATTCCCAAATTAAACCGAAGAATGACAGAATAGCTGCTTTTTATGTCAGTATTCTTTTTACTTCATGCACAGTGAGTAAGACAACAGCTTTAGGAACATCTTCTTCATCTCGAGGTGGATTCGTTGTTGTATGAAAATTTGAAAATTACTGGTTACATAATATATTTTAATTTCATTACACGTTTGAGAATATTCATTGAGAATTTCCCATGTGTTCAGTGAATTATAAAATAGTTGGGATATATAATGATAATAACACCAACAAAAAATTATTTTTGAAGAAAAATGCTAGAAAGAGATTTGCGAAATTCATCCATAGAACATTACTGGAAGTTAAAACGTGCAGAAAAATAGGTTCGACGATTAAAAAAACACATATCAATGAATACAACGTGGTGACATTGGGGAAATGGGTAAAAGAAACTGAATAATTTGTTTACGTTTTACTACAACTCGGATGGAGTTACACATGCTACAGAAAATGGCCATCAAATATCTAGTTTTTAAACGCAAAGGGTAAAAAGAGCCCCATGTCTGTCATTCCCACCCCAGCTACGGACCAGCCCCGTGAAGCTAAGCTCTGGAACCCAAGGAGGTTCGGGGTATCAATTCAGGTAAGGATAAGGATCCGAGCATTTTCTGGACACGGTCTCGGTGTGCGTGCACAACAGGGTATGGACCGGAATTCGTTGAATCAGTGGTATGAATATGAATAAGCGGATCCAGCATCTCTGTCCAAATCCACCCCATCCTAATGTCAACCAAAGAGGTCAGGATGCTGCCATGTGGCACCCATCCACATCATCGATTCCATTTCCCTATTCACACCTGAACAAATCGACAAAACGAGGCTTCACAAGACGCTATTTGATTGGCACGAGTTATTTATTATTATTTTGATATGTTGCAGAAGCAGGCCGCCACAGGTCCAAAATTGGACTCAGGTGAGCTCTATATATGAAATTTAAAACTATGAGAATAAATAGTGTTTTCCAACTGTTTTGCGCACAGCATGCTCACCTTATGTAAGTCACTCTTAGAATAATTGTTTCTTATTCTCGTCTGCTGTATAGGAAATCATGTAATTTGTGGAGAGTCTTACGAAATTGGGATAACAAGAATAAACATAAAAAATACACACAAAAAAATATTTATTTTCATGTATATATATATTCCTTCAATTCTGTTGCGGTATTTTGTAAATAATGGGAGAAATATATGAAAAAATGAAAAAATAACTTTGAAACAAAATGTGGTAGTTACATTATAATATTGCACACATTAAAAAATAAAAGATGCTTGGTCATTTATTAAAGCCAATGATATCAATACACTTATATATCAACTTGTATTGTGTTTTGAAAATAAGATGGATCCTGGACTATTTCTCTCAAACAAGTTGTATTTCGTAAGAGTATTTTTGGTAACATAATTATGTTATACAGTAGCTTTTATGTGTTTTACACATTTTTATTCGGAAAAAAACAAAAACAAAAAAAATTATCCAATGATGTTCCGAACCAAAATGGTGGAATTTCATTTCCATTTAAAATTGACCTAGGGATGTGTTTGTGGGTATGTTTATGCACTTTCATATAAATATCCGCATACTCACAACTTTTTCGTTAGCGTGTTCAAAAGCTTCACAATTAATTTCATTGAATTTTAGGTGAATGTGTAAGACTACTAAAAAATAAAATAATGCACACACATGTATTAATACATTCACTCACACAAACATGTAACGGTACAGCCCCTACAACGCTCTTACTAAAGTTACAAAAAGGAAAGTCACTAAAGCCTTTTCGTAAGGAACCAATGGGTGATCCGCCTTAATCTGAGAAGATATTTATTTATACCTTAAGCGTTTTCGCAGCTTTTCGTCGACGCCTGGTCCAGTGGAACAATGCGTGTTTCTGACCCGGCAGTCTTTCGGGCGAATCCAGTGGAAGGGTCCCAATTCCCAGTTGTGTGCTTTTGGCTCATATTGGGAGCGTAGATTCCCGAATTGGGTTCTCGTCGACCCCACATTTCATCGGGTGCTGTGAATGGGGCAGGCAGCTGCCCCTTCCACTACCACCTTACTCGGGCAGTTCGGGCAGATAGGCGGAAATTTCAAGCATCTCCGTCCCTTGCTTACTCAACATGGTGAACGGACTTCCCACGCTCATGGCCACCTGATCGTCCGTCCGTCCATTTCTTTCTTAAAATTAATTTATTGCCATTGATGATATATATATATATATATATATATATATATATTTTAAATCATATAATTTGATACATGGAGTTAAGTGGTTTTAACAATGCACATGGTTTTAACAATACACATGTTTTAACAATGCATGAAGTCATCTATACAATAAGAAAGTTTGGGTTGAAGACAAAGAGATAAAGAAGTCTTCTCATTGGCCAAAATTAAAGAAATTGTTAACTAATAGAAAGTCCTGGATAGCTTACACATGGTATGTGATCATGTGAAGGGGAAGTTAAAAAGATCTCCAATTTAGTATATGTAAACAGTTTTTCTGTGCCCAATGACATGGTTTCTGCTACTACCATATATATTCATACACACACATACATATACAGATCACATTGTGAGATGGCCAATTGTGTTTTATTTTCATAGAGAAGATCTTCAAACTTCCCCTTCACAAAATCTGAATTCCACCTACACCATGAGCTCTTCTTACAACAGATATATCTAGAAATCTTGCCCTAGTATACAATTCTGACCATGATAAAAAAATAAAATAAAATAAAAAAAACGTTCACCATGATCACATACCATGTGCATGCTTCTAGAAGCATCTGGGTGGTGCTGGGGACTTGAAATCACAATGGAACCCAAAAAATAAAAATTACAACACTTCCACACAGTTTAAGGGAGATGTTGCATTTCCCCAGGAGACTGATCGCATACTACTAAGGTTGTGAATTCAATAAGCATGTGTAGTACTAAAAAAATAGACCACACCTTCAATTTAATTAAAGAGCAGATATACATGATCACTACTTGGTTACACTTTGTAGTAATAAAATGAAATCCTAACAGTAGATGCTGAATAGACGATCTGGTTAACCTTACAGATGCCCCCCTAATTCTCCAGAATGTCTGCCTTCAAGGGTGTACTAATTGCAAAATCAACTGCTCGAAGAAAGTCACTATGAGAAAATACATTTGCATCTGTGCTACAATAACCCAACTTGTTTCGTTGCCTCGACCATGCCATGGAGGTCTTTCGTGAGGCAGATTGATCGTGAGCTCGGACCATGTAGATTCGTCTCCGTAGAAACAATCGAGGCACTTTCATGCAATGAAGTTTTCGAACTTGCACTGCCTGTCGGAATACTTTGCATCGACGTTCTTCACTTGGCACACACGATGTTAGCTTTGTACTCCACTTGAAACTCCAATTCCAATCCTTACGAAATATGCTCCATAAATCTCTTTGGTCGACATCGTTCTCGCTACAAGCTCATTGAGAGCATCCTCCTTACTCCTAGTCTCTTCTCGTCCTGATGACTGCGTATTCAAGAAGATGCGGAACCAAAGTCTCGGTTCCTGTCCATGGCCTGGAGTAAGAATTCGGCTTGCTCATCAACTCCATCTTTGTACAAATTGCTTCCGCGAGAAAATTCACTACTGTATCCATCATTTCCTGTACACTCGTCGTCATCTTTCTTGACCTTGCAGGCGCGAGGGGCAAACAATCTCAACTTTATGAAATCGCAACAAAATTGCACACAACTTCTTAGACATTGTCTCATTTCCTGCATAAATGAACCCATGGCATTTATGAGTTTGAGATCTTTGTAAGGTTGGGTTGTAAATGATATAGACTCGCCTCAGACCTTGCCAAACTATTGCTCAAGGGTGATCAAATCTGCTCGTTCTCACTGAGACGTCTTACACATCGGTCGGTGGCGCTGATTGTTTCAACTTTCGGAATGCGATCCGGGCACCTCATTTGCCCCTTACAGTGTGGGAAAAGTAAAACCATGGACATTGTTGCAATCTTCATCGACATCACCGACACCCCCACATACCGACACATCTACCGACATTGTTGCCGACACAAAAGCGAACTTTCCAGGTTACACGGTGTCGGGAAAACGGTTGCTGCTCATATCTATTTGCACCACACGTGTCACTAGTAAACCTAAATAACAAACAAAAGAACCAAAAAAAAAGTTCAACCGAACCAAACTCCTACATGGTATTTATTTATTTATTTATTTATTTTCAAATAGAAGGAGTTTAAAAAATAGGGTTTAGGCAATGACTAAACTAAATATGATAACTCATATGTGGCAAAGTGACTTGCGTTCTAACACTTTTCTAATAAAGTGAATATAAAAAATACCAAGGAGTATAAGATTTTAAATCATATTATTTGTTTAGATTATTATGATAAATCTTCAACTCCAATTTATGTGATGATAAATGCACTCTATGAACTTAGAAGTTTTTTTGATATTAAATTCACTTGTTAAGCTTTTGTAAAAATACAACTATCAACAATAGCTTTCCAATTTGTAATAAATTCACAAACATCTTTATTTACCTCTATTATTAAATGGCATAACTTTTTATAAAACTTATTGATAAGGTTTTATTTGGTTATTCATATATTTTTTTAAGTCTACTCCAAACAATCTTAATAGTTAAATTTCTCAAAAATATCAACTATTAATTGCTACAATGTAGTAGTATTTTTGCACATGCTTTATAGTTTTTAAATTCCATGTATTATATCACTATTATAATATTTGATCCATTAACAAATCTTCACAATTCTACTTAATTTAAAAGGACTTCAATCTTAATGATCCATGTGCAATAATTATTTGCAACAAATTGAAGAATCAAAGAACAAACATCTATAAAAGAAAGTGTGGTAAATATATTATATTACTTAAATCAATAAAATTAAAAAAATTTAAGCTTGCTTTGATACCATATGAGAATGTAAGAATATGGAATAATACTACATTAATGTAAAAATGAGTAAGTACATAATAGTAGTTGTAAACAAATTTATATTTATCTCTAGAAGAGATAATAATATTTGTAACAATCTACTTGACTATCTATGGATAGTAATATCTATAAATTACTATTAATAAATAGATATTCTAATAGAAACTATAAATATATATTTATAATAAATAACATAGACTATTTTAAGTGATATATTTTAATTTTAATCTATTATTCTTCAAAAAATTTAATAAACCTTATTAAAAATATTTGATCTAAAATCATCTAAAAATATGATATATTACTTTTAAAAAATAATTTAAAGAATCATGTAAAGTATATACTAGATGATATAAATAAAAATAAAAAGATATTGATTATTTCTTATTATACATCATATCAAATAGAATATTTCATATCAAATTTAAATATGTAATTAAAATTCTTAAAAATACGATTTTTTTATTTTAATAAGTTTTCTAATTCATTTTATATATAAAATTAAATCATATTTATGATTAATGTGTGGTTTATTTTATTATCTTTTATCATTGATATTGAATTTAGACATTTTATTATTAATCCAACTAAAAACAATAGTAGTATTTTTGTAATAATTTTTTTTCAATAATTATTTGAAGACACAAACTATTGTTAATTTTTATTTTATTTTATAAAAATACTTTAATATAAATACTTATTTTTCTTTACAAATTAAAAACTCAATTTTTATTTTAAGATTTTTTGCACTTTATGTATTTATTTACTGTATGTACTTTCTCTTCTTGTACTTTAATTAGTGATTTTAGAAAATATTAAGTGCATATATATATATATATATATATATACACACACACTAAGAATGCAATGTAAAATAATATAAAAAACTTAAAAACGTGTATGTTTTAAAACATAAAAATGAAAACTATGTTGCAAAAAGCTTGAAAAAATATTCAATTTATTCTACCCTTACTTTTGTATGATAATGAAAAGAATTTATTTTCTTGTAATGGCCCTTATAAGTATAATTATTACCTTTTGAGTTTTATGACCTGAACATTCCCTTTGACTATTAATTCTTTTTACAATATTTATCATGATCATGTAGAATGTAAGTACATAACTCTTCAAATTTTACGATTATAAAATATGCATATTTAATTATATTCCATGGAATAAAAGCAATTTTATTTTTATTTTTTTATTTTTTTTTCAAAACTGTTTATTTTAAAAAACGTATACCAAAATATCTTGTTTCTTATTTGAATGGTGTTGTTGTCAATGTCATTTTCACCTAGTTGGGTGTGTCATTGAAGTATAGGAATGCTCAATCTATTGTCTCAAGAGATTAGAATCCTACATAAAAGAAATAGAGTGAGTGACATTTTAAAATTGAACGGAAAAATAAGTGCGAGTTATCATCACTGACCTGATTCAGGATTAAAATTTCTGCATTTACTCAACAACAAAATAACTTCACTCAGTCAGCTTATTGAGCAATGCTAGCTTATTGAGAAGATAAGCTGCTCAAATTGATCCTGATGGGAAGTTGTCCCACTGCTGCAGAGTTTGAGACCCACAGAAGCGTCATGACTGCCGAAGTCAAGTGGCAACGAAGACATCTGCATCATACACAAGTCATTAACGAGCACATTGAAACAGAGATGTTTCTATGTCTCGTACTTGCACCAAGCACCAGGACGAGATGGTGAAGTTTTTATCTAAACAGTTTGATTTGTACAATTGCGTTGTCAAGGCACTGGTGACATAGTTTAGGCTCAAAAGGGTACGACGCAGACGAATCAAAGAGAGGAAAGAGAAGCGGCGAGTATTTGTGTATGTGCATCAGTGAACAGGATCTGAGGTTACTTCGAAAACAAGCCTTGATTTTCCTAGTGGAAAGACGGTTTTCTGTGTGGAGCCGTGCAGGGATGGGAATTCCCTCAATCAGATGTAGAGAATCTATTCCTGCTCCGAGGTCTGAAATGGGTCTTAAATCCTAAAAGGTGTTCAGTTGTAAAACTAGAATAATCGCGACACTGATATGAAGTGATTAAGAAAATGATAGCTTAGGTTTACTTGAGCAGCCACCGAGAAGATAATAGCAACGCTCTCAACACCATTCATAAGGGATTCAAAGTTGATGGGAAAGTACAGCAGACAACATGCACTTGGACTGGTAATTCATCAATCTCTTGCTGAGTGAACAGAATGCACTCTGCACAATGATTTAGACGGCCAACGCAGCATAGAGTCAGATGTACTCGATGCCTCACTGAAGAGGCCCTAGAGTATTGACAATGTAAGACTTGGGGTATTTAGAAACTTTCTAGGTTTTCCGAGCAGAGGAGTGAAGCATTGTCACTCAGAAATAATGAGAATTATTTTGGGAGAGAAGTTTACGTTTACCTCTCATAAGCACGTTTCTCGTATTCTTTACTTATTTCGTCTATCCATTCTGCATCAACCGTAACGTATCAATAAATATTGAACAGAAGTAACACTACCACGTAACATAAAACATACTACATATAACTTGACTGGCTTTAACAATCCTAAGAAATCAATAATTACGTTCCGACCACATCTACATCCAACATTGATGAAATTTGAAGCTTAAATCTTGATACAGCTACCTTCAAATACAATCACGACACAACAACAAAAATAAGTAAATAAATGAATAATCCCCTATAAATCAAGTGGGAGGGTTTATGCCCCAGTAAGATTGTTGCAAATCTGGTGGCCATATGCTAGTAGCCATATACTTCGGCATCAATGGCCATAATGCCCACCAATTGTTTTGGGGACACACGATATTGTAGGAAAAAGGAAATAATAAAGCGGAAGAAAAGTTCCGGAGAAAATTCAAAAAACCTGACATATGCCTCAATTTCTGTGTTACATCTCTCGAACGCTCTGGATTAGAGCTTAACCTTACTGCTTCAGGCTCTTTGTCCAATTCGATGGACTTGCCCACGACTGATTCAAAAATAGGGGGCACAATGTCCGTGTTGCAGACGATTCTGGAACCACCATTTGAAGATGCTCCGGGGTGCGAGCTTCCATTCTGTAATGATTCAGCAGGGCGTTGTAAGAGATTTCTTTTCGCAATATCTACTTCACCAAAAAGCAGTTTCCTCAAAACATCATGAAGTTGGCCAAAGAGTTGCCTCTTTATGGAGTCAAAAGCTGCCTCCAGGCGCTCCAGCTGCAAGTATGGAGTCATTGAACCCACTGCTGTTAACTACTTGTTTATCAAATGAGCTTAAAGGATCTATATACCAGATCTAGGACATTAAAAAATTGCAAACAACAGTAATATGGGTAAGCAAATAGTAGAACAAGAGCCAGCATTCTAAGATAAACAACTCCTTCAGGCCTAAAAAATTAGACCGATAACATGACTGAAAAGACTGACACAGCCTCCCTGTAGGACTGCCTGAGAAATATTACTTGGGATGAATAATACATGAGATGTGATATAACATTATCACATAATGGGAGTAACACTATGCGAGGAATAACGTTGGCTGAAAAATGTATGTTTTTCTTTCTTTTTCTTCTCTTTTTACCTCCTCAATGGCATTCGGGTTGTACATAAACAGCCCACAGTAGAGTTCGAAGCTATCGCCGGACGTGTTCTGTACCTGCTCACGGCCCAGTTTTCTCAGCTGCAGTCACCAATTGAGGCTACCCATAGACCAGTGTCCTAGTCCAAGTTGTAAAACAAATTAATATGGTGGAACTAACTACCATGTTAATATTATATTAGTTGTTGAATAAACATTGATATAGTAGATTTTCCGCTCGCGGGGACTAAAGCACTTTGTTTATTTAAATTTCTGAAATACTAGCCCCCTAATGAGAGTTTGTTCCTTTTAGTACGATAACCAAACAGTTACATAGTCCCTTACAAGTCCGAGTAGTGTTTCATATCCCTTGGTGTTGATTGGTGTTGATTCTAACCCAAGCTTTCCTAATACTCTGCATTCAACGACCAACTGCTTCAACCCATGCACTACAGATTGCTTCGAAGAGAGAAAATTTGGGATAGCCTCCATTGCAGAACAAGATAGCCATAACCGCGAAAAAATCATAAAAATGGCTTTTCCTCTACCAGACAACAATAAGAGTGCCACACTTGAAATCTCCCTTCTAGCACAGAACAAGGAAGGTTGAGAATAAACACCTGCCAACAGTGTGAGTAATGAACTGGCTACCTGCCGCAAATCGATCATGCTCTGCACACGACATCTCCACCATGCGACAACCCTGAAGTACACATTCAAAGGGACAATTCAGACAGAAGTATACATGGCAACTTACAACAAAAACTATAATAACAACCTGAAGGCAACCCGCAAGACTCGACCATGTTTGCTGGAAGTTTCAAGTTCGCATCCCTTAACCTTCTGTGTACTTATAAGTTGGAACCACTATTTTACTGACAACATTTTTTTCATTGAAGACACTAAAAAAAACCTCGTGCTGTTTGTAGCTTGACTATTCAATATCATGGAAGCGTTTTAGTGGCATTGACTTGTAGTAGGAAGTTATCTGCTGTTCATGATATGAAATTTCATTGCTAGTAACAGAAAGTTCGGAATTCACCTCACTCACAAAGATGTCTAGGAACATGTCAGCGGCTCTTGATCGCCAGCCTTTGCTTATGCGAACCTTATCATAAACAAAAGGCAATCCAGCCCAACTTCCCTTGCCACTCTTGGGGCCAAACATGGGATGGGTGCAGAGCACATCAAACTCGGGGGGCAACACCTGCTCATATCAAACGCCCGTTAGTTACTTTACAAGACTTCTAAATTAAATCTAAAAAACAAGCTTTGATGATCGGATTCGAAACACCAAACGAGGAGTAGAGGTTCCAACGCTTTTGCAACAATCGACCATTATCTTTTTTGAAAAAAAACTTGGAGGTTCACCTGAAGAAAAAGGTTCTTCGGAAATTCCTTCACAGAAAGCACATCAACAAACAGGGTGCTGCTCTCGAGCCGTTGCAGAGGAAGAGACAGTAAAACAGCCTCAGTTGACAATATGGAGGTGCACAAAAGAACCACCTCCGGATGCTCCTCACAAAAATCGTCCGCATCCCTGAGGATTGAAAAGCCGTCATTAATGTTCTTAATAGTCATCATACGCACCATGCCAGCCCCAGCTCTGAACTCTAATAAAGAAAAGGAAAAAAACAATTGTCAGGTGTTCTTCCCTTTACTCAATTGCCAACTCTAATGCTCCCAACAATGAATTTCGTATTTATTGAAGAAAAATTCGTGACATCCAAACTTCTAGACCTGCACTTCTGGCGTAAGCTAATTAGCGAGATGAAATTCGACGACTTGAAAGGAAGATGTTCAGAAGTCTAGAATTTTCATCCTTGTGGTAACAAATTCTTTCATATAGATACGAAACCGTTACACTCAGTACAATTGACACAGTGGTACAATTAACGCAGCAAGATTTTAGAAGAACGACTCATTGTCATCAATAATCCCTTGACAAAACAAGCTTTCAGGGTATTAAATCTCATCACAAGAAGCACAAATCTAATATGAATCATGCTCTAGACTTCCAGAAGATTTCAAAAAACCAACCCACTGTTGGGATCCAACTGACCTGAAAAATGCCACACCTAATTTCCGCGCTTTCTCACTGTAATCTCCTCTGGAATAGGCCAAAACCTTGTGCCCTTGCTTCAGGATCCTGATCGCAAGAAACTGACCATAATTCCCGAACCCCACAATCCCAACTCTCAGCTTACTACCACTCTGCAGTTCCAGCGACCTCTTGGACCCATCATCAAATGGCTGGGCGGCATCTATAGCACTCACATCCACCGCACTGCGCTGGCTCTCGTACCCACGTCTCCCAACCCTAACATGACTTCTCAAAAACATCTGCCTCCGCTGCTTCCGAAAACCTCCACAAAAATCCAATGCAACAGTGCTCTCGCTCAGTCGCAAACCAGGCGGCTCAGAACTCCTGACCACAGTCTTCATGGGTTGGAGGGAGGCGATCATCCCAAAGTGCGCATCCGGAGCCGGAATCAAAGCTTCCATAGCTCCTCCCATTGCCACTATCTCCCGCATCGATCCCCCTCAAAACCCAAAATCCCGAGCTCACTCAACTCACTATTCCAACACCGCACGCACTGTTCTGAACTCCAAGCCCTCAAACATGGACAGAATTTGACGCTCGACGCATCAAACGAAAGTTTAGATTCTTGTCAACTTGATGGTGAATCAGTTCGAACTTCACGGTGCTCGCAATCCAATTTATATTCTACTCAGACAAGCACGAACCCTGTCGAAACGGCGACAATGGGCAGTCGTAGTTCTGGTGCGGAGAAATGCGGTCGGAAGTTCGATCCGTTTTGTCCACGTCGGCGCCTATGTCGGGGAAAGGGTGAGTGCCAATGGGAGTCGTCCATTTGGACTGGGTCTTGTTCACACGGGGATTGGGTTCCTTTGATGGAGCTCGTGCTCCAGGCTTGGGTGGGGCGGGCAGGTGAGCGGGCAGGGGGGCAGTCACGCCATTTGAACGGAGGGGAGGTGTTTGCGAAGTTACTCTTACACGCTTCAATTGCAAATTTCCTTCAATATTTCATGGGCTCTGTTGTGTCCGGCGTGAGAGTTGGGATCCATGTTTTTTTAGAAACTATTAAATCTGTCCCCCTCCCCCCTTTATTTCATTACATTTAATTTTTTTTAGGTACAAATATGTTACGGAATATCCAAAAGTTTTAATTCAATTTGATATTTGTGTACTTAATGAGGCCAAATTTTCTTGTGAGAAATTGTATATATATATATATATATATCCATTTATTTTTAAAGAAGACTTAAACACATTGGACATATCTAATATATGTAGTAAAGAATTAAAGATGTGTATTACATGTACATTTTAACAAGAAGAACAAAGAAGTTGTTATATGAGAGATAAAACATTAGAAAATAAATTAATACCAACGGAAGAGGAAAAAAATCCCTTATTAATTTATGTGTGTATATATTATGGTGCTGTTATGAAAAAGTTATGCATAGAATTTCTTGTATATTTTTTGATTGAACCACAAATACTAGAATTTAAACCATCATGCCAAAAAAATTCTTCTAATTGATTTACTATTATTGTAAATAATTGTAAAGGTTTTTTTTTTTTTACTCGATCCAATGTGATTAAGAATCCATCAGGCACGAGTTTGATTAATGGTAATTACAAATTTTCAATTTAAAAAATAAAAAAACAAGAATGAATTTCCAAAATTAATTTTAAAAATACAAAACACATGAATATGTAACCAAATCTTATTAAAGCTACTTACATGATTGCATCCAAATTTTGTACATGTTATTTAGTCATTAAAAATATACACATAAATTAATTTTGTCTAACGTAACCAAATATTTTCAATTTTTTTAATTTTTTATTATTTTTAATTTTTAATTTAGGCAATAAATCACTATTTCAACTATGAAGCCATACTGAATGTAATTGAAAATGAAACTAAATTAAAAATGCTATGTGATACAAAAAAATGATCATGCAATCAAGGATTATCAAAATCACAACTAAGGTTTAGTGTGTACATGTGAATGTAACATATACTAATTATTTATTTGTTTTGACAAACATGAATGCTGCTTCAATTTCTTTAATAATTTTTTTATGTTTTATATTATATTTTATATATTATATTTTTAGATAAGTTTGAGTTTTTAAAAATGCAAGTACATCGTGGAATTTATTGAAGTTTTATTGTGTGGCCACATCTCATGACTAGTACCTCTTATTTACAAAATATGCAACTTCTCATAAATAACATGCCCTGTGTTGTAATTTCACTCACTTACACAGGTTTAATACAGCATCCAACGAATTTCATCCCCAAAATTATTACTGTCAAGAAAATCCTTTATATAATCACAGCATTACTGAAACCAGAAATCTATAACTATTAATAAATTAAAAGGATCAAACATGAAATCAATATAAATCTTTCAGTAATAATACTTATATATTACATTGATTTTTAATAAATTCAAATAAAGTAATCAATATCTTATTTGATTCAATGATGATTTATGGGTGCTTTTTTAGGTCTAAAAGTTGTTTTCATAATTATAATTATAATTATATATATATAACGGAATGTTAAATAGATCCAAATTTTTTCTAAATTGATCCACCTATTTTAACCAAAAATTTCTTGGGAGATAAAGTGGAGAGATAAACATAACAAAGTAGGATGAAACAAATTTCTTGGAAGAAAAATCAAATAGCTAAATCAGTCTTCCTATTGGTATAAGAGCTACATTCACTTTAAGTGAGATTTTCATGGGTTTGAATTTGAAATCTCATGCATTTCATGTCGAGTTTGCATGCAAAGAAAGAGAATTTTTAAAGAGATGTTTCTAAAGTAAAGAAAAATAGGTTCTTTTGGAGATGTTTACAATATTGATGATGTCTCTAATATAGAAGTAGACATGAAAGCTTTACTTCCACATTGAGAACACTATTAAATGGCATCAACTTTCTATATAGATACCCATATATAAAATAAAATAAGTCAATGTGATAAATATAACTTATTATGTTATATATATATATATATATATATATATATATATATGTTTTAAATATATAAAATATATTATTTATGCATAATAGTATATATTTTTATCAGAGTGAAGATATATATATATATATATATATATATATATATATGATTTTATGCTATAAAAAATCCTAAATATTCAACATCATAGATTTTTTTATTTAGGTGTCAATATTAAGTTAAGTTCACTGTGATAAATAAGTTGAAATAAAAGTTTCTAATTCATGCTTTAATTATTTTCAAAAAATTATTAACCATTAAAGATTTTTTATGAAATAATTATTAGATTTTTTAAAAAAATATCACAATCAAGCTTTTTAAATCACAAATTATGTAATAAATCAAACTTAGGTAGGTCATTAAAAGAAATATTTTTTAAAACACAATCAAACTTAGGTAGGTCATCAAAAGAAATATTAAATATATATATATATATATATTACTTAAATTATAATAAATCATATTATAAAATAATAAAAATGATTACAATAAGCATACAATTAATACAAAAGTATTTCAATCTTAGAATTCAAAACATATATGATGTTTAAAAGCTTTATAATTTTTATTCATATAGTCTAATAAACAATGTTCATCTTTTGTTTAAATATAAAATTAATTACAAATACTTTTAAACAAACAAACAAATAAAATGAAACATCTTATAAGTTTTATACATTGTATATAGTTTGATGGCTATTCATTCATCTTCTTACTCTTAAGTATATAAATCTCAAAGAGCTAAAAGACCAATATATTCTTGTGTGACTTGAAAAGACCAGAGAATCACTCAAAGATAGTATAGTTTTAAATTAGAATGGCTATTACTAAAGATAAGAAGACTAAAAAGTCTTAAAATAAGACTAAAGACTAAAATGACATTAATAAGAGTAAAAAAGGCTTTATTCTTGCCTCCATATATACTATCTAACTATGAGCTATGTGCAACATTCTATAGAACTTCTAATATATGTCTAATTTGCAAAACACATGTCTTAACTTGCAAGGTAAGTTTCATATATGTACATATTTATAATTGATTTGTAGGATAAAAACTTGGCCAATAAGTTAGTTATGTGTTGTAAATGTAAGTAGCTTGTAGTAGAAGCTAATAATATGGTGTATATATATAAAACTTGCTTTGCAAGTAAAAACACATATCTTGCAAATTAAATATGTATTTGAGGTCTTGTAGGATATTATTATATAGCTTCTAGTTGGATAGTATATATAGAAGCAAGAGTGAAGCCTTCTGTACTCTTGTCAATACTTTTTTAGTCCTTAGTCTTGTTTCAAGTCTTTTTAGTCTTTAGCAATAGTCATTTTAATTCAATATATTACCATATTTGAGTGATTTTTTAATCTTTTTGAGTGAAATAAGAGAATATTGAGATTTATTTTTGAGATTTATGTCCTTGACATAAAATCACCAAACATTAAAAGTTTCTTCCAAGGTTGTGATATCAAACATATAATATCTTGTCATTTATTAAAAAAAAATATATTATTTTTAAAGATCTTTATTTCTATTATATCATTCTAAAGGCTTTGACATTCATAATTTGATAAGTCAAAAAATGATAGTTTTTGAGTTGAATCTGATGGCTATTGGTTTTCCATCTTCTTCAAACTATAAATATACAAAAACTATAAAAATACTTAGAAAATAAAATTCAATCTTCTTTGAATCTTCTTTCTTTTATAGTAAATATTTGTGATTCTTCATCTTCATTTTGATGGATATTATTGATGAAAAGCATCAGATTTCTTTATTATATTTATAAGATTTTCAATAAGCTTTCATTTTCATTCACTAATATTATATCCATAGCAAGGAACAAGATATTTCAATCTATTTTGGTACTATCTTGAGTCTTAGACTTCTTTGACCACATATTCTTGATTATTGTCTATTTTTATAAGAAGATGTGGCATTTGTCTTCTTCTCAAGGTATTTATAGTCTTATATAATTGAAAAAAAGATACATATAATAATAGATAGATCTTCATAGTCTTTAGTAGATATAATTAATAAGCAATAAGATTGAATTATGTAAGTACAAAAAATGGTCTAAGCATATAATAATCCAACTTGTTATAATGGTAGCTAATTTTGATATTACAAAAAATTATCACAAACATATATACTTATTCTAATATTTACCTATATGTTTAAGTAGAAGTAGATGAAAATAGATTTATTTCATAATATTTTCTAGAAAAACTTCCTAGAAGCTTTATAGATGCTACATTGACTTTACATGTCTTTGAAGTTGATTGATAGGTTAGAAATTAATCACAACAAATTAATCATGTATTGATAGCTTAAAAAATAAGCTAACTATATGGCATATATATAGAAAACTTGCCTCACAAGTTAAGATTTGTGTATTACAAAATCAACATGTTTTGAAGGTCCTACAAGCTATAGTCATGTAGCTTTTAGTTAAGAGTATATATAGAAGCAAGAATGAAGCCTTTTTCACTATTAACAATGCCTTTCTAGTCCTTAGGCTTGTTTCAAGGCTTTTTAGTCTTGTCTTTCGCAATAGCCATTCTAATTTAATACTATATCATCTTCAACTGATTTTTTAATCTTTTTGAGTAATACTAGAGTATATTAAAGTTTTTTTCTTTAAGATTTATATCTTTAATAATTTAATAAGAGTGCTGATTTACTATTTATTTCTTTTTTAGAAATGAATAGATTACTCCATTTCTATTGTTAT